CATTTTATTAAAATACCCCCCAACATTAAATAATAAGAACAGAATAATTAATATCATTTGCTGTATGTCTCAGATATAAACTTGAAATTTCTAAAGCATTTTAGCAATTATTAATATAATTTTTTGAATTTGAAACAAAAAATTGTTTATCCTTTATTAAGAATAAGGCAACTTTGGTAATATTTAAATTTTTAATGCCAGGCAACAGAAATGTGTATCAGACTCAATATACAACATGAGACATGTGCATATATAGTATTAAATGTGGTTTATATATACTCTATATGGTTTTATTATTCTATGCTATCTTCTTGGTGACTTGTGTCACATAAGGCCTCTTGCTGACATTTCTGTAATAGAATTGTTCTGCATGGTATGGTGATTGGCTCCCATGTCTAACCTTTTCACTTTTAGGATTGGTTGGTTTTCTTTCAATATTTTCCTTCCCTAAGATGACTCTCTCTTCCATTGCTCATGAGTTCCATCAACCAAGGTTTGAGAATTCAGAGTTTTCCTTCTAGACTGATTTCCAAACAAAGCTGAAGACCCCAGTCAGCCCTATATAATTTTATTTGAGGCAATATTAATACCTATGGCATACACTGTCTGTATACATCTTCTTGAAGTTCGGGTCTTTTAGGAGTCTGTCATATTGCAATTTGGCTGCTGCCTTGGCTCTTTTCAATATCCGTAGTTTCACTTTAAGTTACATATCACGGAAAGGTGGTCATTTTCACAATTGGTACTTGGGTATGTTTTAAATTGTAAAAATCTATTCCTGAATCTCTTATTTACTGCTATTTAGTCAATTTTATTTGTTTTTTTTTCTCCTACTCGGCTTCTCCATGTCCATATACATCTTGGGTGTTCTTGAAATTAGGTGTTAGCTACTACTAGATTGTTTGCTGCATACCATTATACCTATTTTTCCCTGCATTTGTTATGAGTTCCTAGTCCAACTATTTACCATCTCATGATGATTGCAATTTCCTGTAATTTGCATTGATCTTTGGTTTTGTCTAGTGTACAGTAAGACTGATCAATTTCTTCCTCAGTACTTTGTTCATATATACAACTAGAATAATATATTAAAGGGCTTCCCTTTCAGCTTAACTATAAGACTTATTACTAGTCGTAAATATTCAAACTGAAAAGCAGACTGTCAATTCTGTTTATTTTTTTGTTATAGCTACAAAAGAAATGAGAAATTTCTTATTTTCTCATATGAACAAAATCTTTATTACTAAGTTCATGTTCAGTGATTTTTAAAGAGACTTCTAAGGGAATTCATTTTGTATTCAACTAAATTAAATAAATAGTATATTCAGTGCCGGATTTACCTATATGCTTAGCAGGCTGAAGCCTAGGGCCTCGACATCTAGGGAGCCTCCATCCAAGGTGTATAATATTTTTGATACTGCCATAGGCCTTTTTTTACACTTGCTGTCATAATGCATTGTAGACTCTAAATAACCTTCAGTAATTTTAGACACCTGATAATCCTCAGCTTTATTCAAATTGTTTAATTTAATACTCTTCTATTTTCATCTACTCGTGAGAATGGGGGACTTCAAGGGGCCTCATAAGTGAAGTAGTTTTGGTCCTCAAATGGAATTACCTAGAGCCTCTTATCATCTAAATCTTGCCCTGGGTATATTCTTGGTATGGATGTTTCATTCAATGATTCTTAGAAAGGAAATATTGACAAATAAAAAAAATGCACTATTACTTCTTAAATACACTTCAACATCAACCAATTACTGAAAGCAGAAGCTAACATAATCAAAATGTTGGCATTTTACACTACTACAAAACAAAGGTTATAAAGGAGGTCTACAAGATTTTATTAATTTCAACTGAAAGCACCATTGGTAATGTGGTAATGGTAACATTAACCAAAAGAAATGGTTCATAATACCATTATCATTACCACTGGAAGTCATTAAGCTCAATTCCAAATCATGTTATATTTATAGAAATTATAATAAGCCATTCTGAGCTCTTTAGCCTTAGTAGGGCAGCCAATTCAGGAAGGAAATCTCTGAATATACAAAACCTTCCCAAAGTAGGATTTGCTCCATCAAGTTACCTTGTCCTAGACACACCTACACGTGCTACTGCTTCAGTGCATAATAGTTTTCTCTCAAACTAATGAAATATAGGAGATGTGTTTATGATATCTGCAAACAAAAAAAATAAGGAAAACTATTCTGAAAATAGCATTTAATATACCTCAGATTATCTCCCTTGAAAAATTGATCAATCAGGGTGTACATTAATGCAAACTCCATGCCATTATTAAACTACAAATTGGACATTGCTTATTCTTCAAGTCAAGCATTTTAACGGTATTGCCTGAACAAAAATTTTGTGTTGCTGTTTCTGTTATGATCAGAAGAACAACTAAAAAAGACTCAAATTTTGGAATTCTGAGATGAGTCATTTTCATCATCCACAAATTGTTCAAACTAATTTTCTCATTGTTGGTGCCATCACATTTGTTTTAATGTACAGCTAAACTAGTAATTTAGATAATTCATTTATCCCAAATTAAATATCTTAGTTATATCATATTTTGCTAATTTAGAAAAACTTGCTTATCTAAGAAACTTTTGTCATGTATAATTCAGAATATTGTCTTTGCTGTATTAAGCAACAAAGCAGAGCAAGAAATGTTTTCTTGAATTATAATAAAAGCACCAACATAATTGCAGCATAGACTTGTATGGATATAAATGATAGGCCATTTCAACAATACAGAGAAAGGATATTATGTTAATGCTTTCAAAATAAAGCATTATTGAGAGAGTTCTACATTGCTCTGTATAAAAGTGGTACTGGAATTACAGATAGGGTATAGACTCTTACTTTTAACAAGTAAGATGTTAGTTTTTGAAGCTTTTCTTTCATTATTTCATTATACTTCACATATTCATCTATACTAGTAGAGACCTTGTTTCTCAATGAAAGGTAGTCTGCTGGGCATGTGTGTGTGTGTGTGTATATATATATATAATTTTATATATATATAATTATATATACATACAGGGTGTATCAAAGATACTTTACAAACTTTGGGGGTGGGTTCTTTACACTAAAACAAGGTAAAATGCCCATATAAATATATGTCCAAAAGGCCATCATTATATCTCAACACAGGATCCCGTTTTGGAAAAACTTATAAGGGAGCACTGATACAGCATGCTACAAAATCTCCAAACAAGGTCTTGAATCCATTTACAGAAGTTTGGGCTCTGTTTCATTCTCTCCCTTTTCAATATGTCCTGTGTGCATCAAATTCACTATTTCCTCCATTTTTTTAAAGCTTCCTCATCACTCACATGTGCAATCTGTGGTATTCTCAGCAGGATCACATATCTGTTTCTTCAAGTTTCTTCCTCATCTTTGAAGAGATTGCCCAGCATTCACTGCCATATACAAAGACCAATATTACATAACATTTCAGCAGTCTTTTCTTTGTTTCTAATGAAATTTTCCTGTTTCTTAATAATTTACTCAGCTTTTTACACTGTTCCTTTCAGTCCATGAATCAAAAGCATTCTTCTGTAGAAGCAAATTTCTGTTGCTTCAAGTCTCATCTTCATCTTTGAGGACATTGTCCAGCATTCACTGCCATATACAAGGACAGATATCACGTAACAGTTCAGTACTCTAGTTTGGTTGTCCAGCATTCACTGCTACATAGGAGAACTAATATTACATAAAATTTCAGTATATTTCTATTTTTAACAAAATCTTCTTGTTTTTGATAGTTTATTTTGAAAAGACTCTTTCACCATATCAATGTAGCTTCAGAATTTTGTGTCACTTTTGTGTGTTATAATACTTCTGAAATATTTAAAATTTTGCTCTTATTTACAATTTATAGCTTACTTCTCATTCAATTTCTCTTGCAGTAATTACTTACCTCATATGTTGGTAAATTATGTAATAAACTGGTTTTTTTTTTTGCAAAATGTGTGTTACCCTTTTTACTATTTATATAAAAAGAAGTAAAAATTATAGGCATTTTGCTCATTTCTGTCTATTTGACTCTTTTGATGATGTAATAGAAACATAATTTTCTGTTACTTTCATCTTCACAAATAAAATGACATTGAAACAAAACAAGTTCAGTTGACCATTGATGACAATTCCAAAACAATGTAACTATAAACAATTTTTTCTATCCTCTGCCAGTCACAATGATGGAGAAAACATTACCTTGAACCATCACCAGTGAGACATGCTGCAAGAGCCACTCCATTTCGTGAGGCTCAACCCTTAATCAAGATGCAATCACGCCAATCCTCTGAAGGAACACCATCAAACGAGGGCCAATAACCCCTGATGTCTCCAAAATGTCATTTTTATGTTTTAAATTATTCCATATTATTTTTAGATGAATAGAAAGTAATTTTGGAATATTATTATACTTATAAAATACCAGAAGTATCCCCATACTTTTATGATGGTTCTGTTAAACCTGATAATAAATAAAATTCAACATTTGCTAAAACATTTACGATTGTTTGTAAATTGAACAAAAGTCTGAACCATGTTGTATTTTCTTTTATTTCTCTACTTTCATCTTCTAATGATCTGAGTTGTGTCAATTTTAAAATTTTAATTTAAAAACATACACTTCAGCTTTTCATATGGTGAGGAATAAGACTGAAAATTTTAAAATTTCATTTTTGCTTCCAGAAAGAGTCCAGACAACCCTCTCGATAAATATAGTGTTTAGTACTTTGTTTTTCATTTTGAACAGATTTTGCCACATTGTTACATCATTTTTCATTTTGTAATCCTATCTCAAATAAAGTTATAAATCAAACAATGAAAGAAAACATTAAAATTGCAGTGTGAAAGTCTTCTTTTGTTTTCTAGGTAACATTCTTTGCAAATGTTTTTCTCATAATCTTCTTATCCGTTGTCCACATTATTGGTAGACTTCTTCCTGGAAGGCAACAAGAAATTGTGCAACAGTGGGTGGATTATTAATTTATTGTTGTTGTAGTAGGAAGAAACGTATGAATAATAAGATGAAGAAAAATGCAAAGAATAAGATTGATAATGATAATATGAGCAATAATAGGAAGGAAAGAATAAGAAGGAAAAAGAATAAAAAAAGAATATGAAATAGAAGAAAATGCAAAAGACAAATAAAAGAATACAAACAAAATGAATAGAAGGAAGCAGAAGAAATATATAGAGAACAAGAATAGGAATGAAAATAAGAATACAAGCAATAATAAAAAAGAATGAATGAAAGAAAAATGAATAGAAGAACATAAAATACTAGAAAATGAAAGAAAAGAGAACAAAATATAACAAAAAAAACATAAAAGAATTGGAAGAAGAAAAAGAAAAATACAAAAAGAAAAAAGCAAGAATAATAATAAAAATACAAACAATATTACAAATGAAAGAATAAAAGAAAAAAACAGAAAAATAGAAGAAAACAAGAATAGTAATAAAAATACAAAGAATAATATGGATGAAAAAATAAAAGAAGGGAAAAGAAGAAAACAATTAATAAGAATACAAAGAATAATATAAATGAAAGAATAAAAGAAGGAAAATAGAAAAATAGAAGAAAACAAAAATAGTAATAAGAATACGAACAATTATACATATGAAAGAGTAAAAGAAGAAAAAAAAATAGAAAAATATAAAATAGAAGAAAATCCAGTAATGAAAAGAATACAAAAAAGATAGTAAGAGTACAAAAAACAGAAACTACAAAGAAGAATAAAATAGAAAAAAAAGGACATGAAATAGAGGAAAATACAAAGAAGACTACAAAAATAAAAGAATTGTAAGAATAAGAATAGGAATGAAAATAAGAATTTTAATCAGTATATAAAAGATTATAATGAAAATAATAAGAAAAAAAAAAGAAGGAAAAAGAATAGAAAATGAAAAAATACAAAGTACACAAAAAGAAGAAAATACAAAGGAAAGAGGAAAATAAAATAGAAGAACATACAGATTAAAAATTGAATGCTAATGAAAATATGAAGAATGGTGGCATGAATCCAAGGAATAACGGAAAGAAAGTAATAAAAAAAGAAAAATGAAAAGAAAAAAGAACACAAAATAGTAGAAAAAAAGAGAACGAAAAAGAATACAAAAAGCAAAACAATAAAAAGAATAAGAATAGGAATGAAAATAAGAATTCTTATATGAAGAATGATAAGAATACAACTATAATAGGAATAAACGAAGGGAAAAGAAAAAAAGAAAAGAAAATACAAAGAACACAAAATAGAAGAAAATACAAAGGAAAGAAAAATGAATACAAGGAAGAAGGAGAATATAAAGATTAAAAATTGAATAATAATAAGAATATGAAGAATAATAAACAGAGAAGAATAAAGGGAAAAAAGAACAGAAAAAAATACAAAATAAAACAAAAGAACAAACAATGTAAAGAGTACAAGAATAAAAACATAGAAAGAGTAATAATAAAAGAAGGAAGACGTGATCAGAAGAAGAAAAAGTAATACCTAAAACAGGAGGAAGATAAAAAAAATAAGAACAATTACAAATTTATATATGGATAAAAATTAAACAAATTCAGCAACATCTGTCTATATTTCTGAGATGAGGTATTGTAACTATTTACACTTTTTACATTGTTCAAACTGTTGTCCTTGTCTTTATTGCCATATTCATATTTTGACATTGTACAATCTGGCCCAGTGAATGAAATCGTTGGTTGTGTGATTCAAAAAGTCACTTGACTTGACTCAAAGAGCTGTGAGTTCAACACCTGGCAAAAACACTTGGAGAGTTGAGTTACCAAGAGAAATTAATTGAAGCTGAGATATCCAAAGACATGGCATGTGGAATTAGAACAATCTATCCCCATGGGCTAAATAAACTGTTTGGTTTGAAATTCTGACAAATATCACCTGAAGCAGGCCAAATAGTACAAAGGCTGAAACATTGTGAATATGGCAGTAAAGATGAGGACAACAGTCTGAACAATGTAAATAGTTTAAATAAATTCAACAATTTAAATATGCATGAACTGTTTTAACAAAAGATGGAAAATGCAACACTGATATCCAGAGGTGCATTGGAATAGCAAAGATGCCTTCCAAAAGCTAAGGAAAGTATTAAAAAAAAGAAATGTTGCTAGAAAAGAAAAGAGTATTGAAACTGTTATGTAATATTATCTCTCCTATAATGAATGTGGGACAATTTCCTCAAAGATGAATGAGAGACTTGAGGCAATAGAAATGTGCTTCTACACCCTTGTGGGCAATTTAATTGAAACAAAATGAATAATTCCATTATTGTTTACTTTTTTCATATTTTTCTAATGAAACATGACCCAGTGCACATGTTAGTACTTCATATGTCCATTCCACAAAGTCTTTCCTTGCAGATTGACCACAAATTCTTGATTGGATTTAAATCAGGAGAGTTTCCAGGGCAGTCTATAGTACTTTGATTTGCTCACTGGTATGGCTTGACAGTGTGTTCGTATAGCATTACAATTTTTGTACACTTCCTTGGAGTAACATCCACCGCAGATAATGGCCATAGGACAACTTATCGACAGTCAAAACAATAGTGTCTAGACAGGATAAAAATCTGACGCAATCACAGATGACGCAATATTTTTCAAGGCCAAAAAAATTTCATCATACACCCCAAAAATAGATTCATATTACTGCACACCACTGTAAAAAAATAGAAAAAATAGAAATCAATTACACCCTCAGTCTAAAACTGACTGTATGGTGAAAGAAAGGAAACTAAAGTGGTTGTTTCAATTAATTTGCACAAGGATGTACAGAAGACTAATGAAAATCCCATGTTCTGAACAAATGAGTAACAAGAAATTTTTAGGGAAAATATCAACAAAAAGATATTTGTTTATATTTCTGAGATGAGGTATTATGTACACGATTTACATTATTCGGACTATTGTCCTCATCTTTGTCACCATATTTATTACAACGTTTCGGCCGTTGCACACTCCAGCCTTCTTCAGGTGGTTGGAATTTTGAACTGAACCCTTTATTTCACTCACTGGTGTAGTCTGTTCTATTTCCACGTGCCATGTTTATTGGTTATCTCCTGTTAATTCCCCACTGCCTTAACCAGGTATTGAACTCACACTCTTTGAGTCCTGCCACTGGATCTAACCAACACCTTTATCCATTGTGTCATGTGTCCTTGTGAACATCTGTGTATGAATTTCTGGGTATTATAAACCGAATGTCTTCAGCAATCATTTTTTACCAGTGCTCATATTGTAATTTTTGCTGTTATCATTGCAAAGATAACAGCAAAAATTGCAATATGAGCATGGTACTACCCATTTTTGTTGTTGCTGTTGGAAATCTTCAACCATGTGTGGTCGATGTTGTATTACTATGTTGTAAAATTAAGTTGTACATTTTCATGACAAATATTACTTATGTTATGAAAACTGTAGTGCGATATTTCATGTCATATCTTTACATATTATCAAAAGTGAATTTTATTTTCACTGGATACATCCCGAATCTGAAATTATCTAAAATTTTCAATTACCATGCAAATTATTTTTTATAGTCATTTCATCTCATGCAAGGCCATAATGCCACTGTGATGCAAGGATTTACTGAGAGTAAGAGACTATAAGAATAAAATTATAAAGTAGAGAGAACAATAAAAGAACAAGTATTAAGAAGACAAAAGATAATGATTGACATTGCATTTAATTTTTTGAAGATCAAAGTTGACTGGGAAGCAAGAAGCCAGAAGAGGGTTTTACAATCAAGAAGTGCAATAGAATAAATTATTAGCATAGAACTTATAGCTACATTTAGTCATTTCAACTGTAAAATGATAATTCTGTAAAACTAAATTCTAGTTACCACAGACGAAAGATGATCAGAATAATTACCATGAAAGGACTTATAGAAAAGGCACAGGGAAGCTATGTTAGACTGGTCAGGAAGTGACTGAAACTGAGATGCCATGTCAGGACCAATGACATTGCAGATTCTTCTTTGGATTTTACCAAGAATCTTTAGATACATAGCAGAAGCACCAGATGAGATGTGGCAGCAATATTTAACACATGATAGAGTCATAAATATGTAAGATAGAATCTGGCAAGAAAAATTGTCTAGCACAATGCAGTGAACCAACTTTTTTTAGCAGCAGTCCTAGCAATTGATTCAATAGAGTCATTCTACATAATGTCAACAGAAAATGTTTGTCTGAGAAGGCATAAAGTCACTCTACTGGAGGTTAGCATCAGCCATGTGAATAGAAGCCAAAAGGTAAAAAAAAAGAAATTACTGAATATATAGAGGAACAAATTTAAACAATTTGCATAATTAAAATTTTTAATATCCAGTTTTCAATCTCAGTATGGTTATCTCAGAAAAATATTGATGGACATGCTATACATATGTAGTATTATAATGCTAAAATAGGCATTACTTGTAATTCACACTAGACCATCAAAGAAGCTGGGTGCAACAGAGGATTAAACAGGTGAAACTCTGAAATGGAGAAGCATATGACCTCATACCTGCATTTATACCTGCATTTAGTTTGGGAATTGTAGGAAAGATTTCTAATAGATGCAGTCACATAAAAAGAAAATGGTCAGTTCCCTGTACCACTCCAGAAAGTACTTGACTCCTCCCTCTCATACCTTTAAAGGAGCCAGATCATGCCGGAAATGAAGTACTGCTGCCATATATAAGCAGGAGCTGTCCAGTCTTCACTTTCCAGTCTTGATAGAGTTCAAAACCATCTTAATGTCCTTGTGGATGACAAATTATTTCCCACCCTACAACCTCTTTCCTACACAGATGATATGTCACAAACCATTTGCTGCTCAATAATGCTATCAATACTCTGAAGGAAACAATATTGCTATCAATCTTTTGAAATGAAACAATATTGCTATCAATCTTTTGAAATGAAACAATAATGCTATCAATCTTTTGAAATGAAACAATAATGCTATCAATCTTTTGAAATGAAACAATAATGCTATCAATATTTTGAAATGAAACAATAATGCTATCAATATTTTGAAATGAAGCATAAACGCTATTAATCTTTTGAAATGAAACAATAATGCTATCAATATTTTTAAAGACAATGATGCTACCTATATTTTTGAACAGAACAATAATGTTCTCATTATTTTTAAGTAAAATGATAACACTATCAATATTTTTGAATGATACAAATCCTTCACAAAAGCACAGTTGCATATTATCCAGTTCATATTAGATGTACTTTTAATGAGACACACACGCTTCCTTCTAAAATAGGTTTTTCCTTTCTCTTTCACTAGAAGCAGGTGTTTCTATGGCCCAGTGGCTCTAAAATCATGCCTGCTACTCAATTCAGCAGCTCTCCATAATTGACACAGGAACTTCTCATCAACCAATTTCCGCAGAGATGCATGAACCATTATCGTCACAATGTCAGTTCCTATTCAAGTAACAAAAGAATTATTTCCTCATGTGTAATTATAAGCTGCTGCCTTAACTGATACTATTAATATCAATGCCGATCATTAAAATTCCTGTTATAGATATGTTTGCTTGTATCTATCTGTCTACAGAACTTCACTTGGAACTAACAGGCACTGCATGCCTTTCTTAACATTCAGCATTTGAAAATTTTAGTTGAATTCAAATGAACACTGAAAAAATCTCTTCATTATTAATTGGTATCATTTGAAAAAGTAGAAAAATTCAGTTAAATAACAAACTTCATCAAACTTACCAGATATTCTTGTGTATGATACGACTTTTTTAAAATTAATTCACCCCATGCAAGGCAATAATGTCACTAAGATGCAAGGGGCTGCTGTGAGTGAAAGAGAACGAAAAAATTTTGGAACAAGCTGTAAACACAATCCTAAACAGGGAACAAGGGATAAACCTCTACTCCTTTTCAAAAGACAAAGTGTGAACTGGATGACAGGTAAACATATATTTTCCTATTTTGAATATAATACAAAATTGTGTTTTTACTGCTAAAAACAAGGACTAAATTGTATATGACTCTATGGTACAGTCATGTAAAATCTCTTTGAAAAGTTTTACCATATTATCTATTAAAGGCTCAATTTTGTACATATATTTTACTAAAATATTTAATATTCCATTATATTAAAGAATTAAAATGAACCAAATGTCTTGTCATTGCATGTTTCTTCTAATACCCACTTCAAAAGTTATTTTCGAGGAAAGGTGCTAACTAGACAGGCTTGAAAATACATTTTAATGTGTTAATTAATCTATCATACTTTTTCTGTTTCATATAAATTTATTATATTTCTATATATTGATAAAGTATGAAAATAAAAAAAAAATGTTGTTTTTCGTTAAGAATGAAAAGAGAAAGCTTTATGAAAAATCAAGTAAATCAAATTATAAACAAAAGTGAGTGCATTTGCAAAATAAGACGTTTTTCAAGCTGAGTAAAAATTTCTGAAAACAATTAGGTGTGTATAATAACACCCATTTTTTCACCTTTAAATTTCATTCAAAATTCTTCCATTATGCACAACATAATACAATAAGCATTTTTCTTTGAATATAAACTTTAAAAAATATAGATTGGTGTAAAAATATGGATTGAGGAGGTTTTGTATATCTCAGGTTAGTCAACTTCAAACTTCCAAGTTTTTTTACCTGGCAGGTTGATGCAGATCTTTCAATTTATCGTTTCTCTTCTTTTTTTTACATCATTCAGAATACCATGGAGAGAGTATGTGAAAATTCCCTGTAGATTACCTGGATCAACATGGTTCTAATGAAGAGCACAATGGCCAAAACATTGTGATAGCAAAGATCAATGATGAGGACAAGTGATACACTGGGCAGTGGTTTAAAAATTAAAAAAATTATACCTGCTATTATCAAATGTTATTTATTCACAGCAGTTCGTATAGATAGAACTGTATATAAAATATAAATAGAATTGTATATAGAGATAAATAGAATCATATATAGAATAAAGATTGAATTGTATATAGATAGAAAAATATATACAATATAGATAAAATTGTATATAGTATATATATTGGGTTGTATATAAAGTATAGATAGGATTGTACATAGAATATAAATAGAATTTTATATAGAATTGTATATAGATATAAATAGAACTGTATATGGAATATAAATAAAATTGTATACAGAATATAGATAGCATTCTATATAGAATATCAATAGAATTGTATGTAGAATATATATATAGAGAACTCTATATAGAAATAGATAGAATCGTATATAGAATATATATAGGATTGTACATAGAATATAAATAGAATTTTATAAGGAATATAGATAGAATTATATATAGAATATAGATAAAATTGTATGTAGAATATAGATAGAATTGTATATAGAATATAGCTGGAATTGTATTTAGAATCTACATAGAATCCTATATAGAATAAAGAGAAAATTGTATATAGAATATGAATAGTATATGTTAATATCGCATATAAACATTTCTATTACTTTTGAAATATTCAAAATTGTTCATTATCTCTGGAAAATAATCTCTATGCCATATTTTTCCAGGATTAAGCTTATTCTTTAACTATCACAAGGTAAAAGGTGAAAATTGGTTGGAGACAGAAGGTTTGTGTGCTACAAAATTTCTAAATTAAGGTAATTTTCCAATCTTTAAAACCAGCATTCAGAAATCTGATCCTTCAACTGATCTTGAACATAATGCCAGAATTAATTTTTGTTTTCATATCTTCAAAACATATAATGATCAACCTCCAGGATTTGAGTTCATGTCTTCTCAGAAGCTTCAGTCCCTACAGAAGGATGCTGGGAATGCCATGAAATTAACATGTGAGCGACAATAAAGTTTTAGAGAAAATGGAAAGAAAAATGACATACTTAACATCAGGAAGAGGTAGCTGAAATTTATAAGGTACATAATGAGAAAAGAGTGCTTGGAAAATTTGATGCTCACAAGAAAGATTGAAGGCCAGACAGACAGTGATACAAAGGAGTGGAAATTGTGAAGAGCCAATGTCCCCAATGTTCTGATGGGACAGGTCCCATAGAAGCAGATGCTAGTATATGCTGGACAATTTCATTACAGAAGAGGATGAAACTTGAAGCAATAGAGATTTTGTTCTCTTGACAAATACTAAGAATGCCCTACATGTGCAATCACATTTAAATCAGTTGAGCCATGAGAGTAACTGGAAGACAGCTAAGTGTTCCTGAAATGACCTTCAGGTCACCTGTTCATGATGGGGAGGTTTTATTTATCTTGTTGGAATAAACCCTCTCTAATGGGAAGCATATTTATTCAGTAACACAGTCCTAAGAGAACTAGAAGACATACAAGGATTTACCATTGGCAGCCATAATCTTAACTACAAAGGATCTATATATAGATATGTTAATCATTTCACCTCAAGCAAGGTGATGAAGCCACTAAGATACAAGGATTTACCAAAAGTAAAATAATCTGAGAAAAATAAATTAAAAGGAGAGAATAATAAAAGAACAAGAATTGAGAAGACTGAATAAGATGATTGACATTGCATTTAAACCTTTGAGGATCAAAGCCTACTTAAAGTAAGAAACTGGACAAGAGTTCCAGAAGCAAAAAGTCTGAGAGAATAAATCCTCATTCTGGAAGAAAATATCATGAAAAAGATGCTTATGTGTGTGAAAAAGTTTTCATCAAAATAAAAACGTTTTCAACACTGTATTCGCTATCTAGGTTTTTAAAAAGTGCTAGGAACTTTTTAGACACCTTTAATAAAATTAAACCCTTTCAAAAAGAATCAGTTTTATTTTAGGAATAGATTATAGAGTAACTAGTACAACAATTAAAATTATGACTAAATAAAATTGTGTGTCTACTTCATACAAAAAAAAAAAAAACAAATCCTGAGAATATCACCAATATCCAAGTCTTTGTTATATACCTTATTTCATTCATCTAGAACTATTATTTTTCATGTATATTGGCTCCAGCCTTTGTTAAGCACAAGAATAAAATACACTTTCTTCCCTGTTGGGCACTTTCTTTTATCAGCTTTCAACATTACATTTTTTTTTACTAGATTCAATTAATTTAGAATTCTTTGTACAGTTTATCACAAAAAAGCAAAGAACAAAACATTATATAGAACAGAGTAAACACCTTGTATTTAACTGAACATTTTTTGCTGTTCTTTATCAGATCTTTGTCCATTTTTTCTTCCTAAGGCTGCATGGATTTGCTTCATTATTACAACAAGGATGGAATACCATGAGAGAGTAAGATTGTTTAACATTTAATACTAATCACTCCTTTACTTATTTACGGTGAAGAGCTATACAGTGGTTGTACAAAAAAATGGAAACGCGCATTTTTTACTTAAATATTTTTTCTATTCTAATCTAAATATACAAGCTGGGTCAAAAGCAGGCTTACAGTTGTTTCACTATTTGTTTCATGTTTTAGATCTAATTTATCCAAATCATAACTGTTTTTTTTTAGCAAAATGGAGAAACCCACCCATTCTGATTTAGCAGTAAGTGACTATCTCAACCAAACCTGTCCATAGCTTTGGTTCAGAAGAAGGGACAGTATCAAATGATCACTATGTTTATCTGACCTAACACAAATGAATTTCTTTTTGGTGGGTGAAATAAAAAACAAATTTTATGAAAGAAATCCCTACACATTGGACAAATTAGAAGTGTATATCTCAAAAGTATTTATTGAAATTGATGCAAATCAGAATTTTTGTCATGCTATGTGTCATATTGTTCTGGAGAGGTTCGAGGAATATTGCAATGTTGAAGAAGGACATTTTGAGCACTTAAAAGATTAAACTTACTAAAAAATGTAAGTAAAATGTTAAACAAATGCACATAAACATTTTTCAAACAAATATGATTGTAACAAATAAATATAAATGTAATAAAATGTTTTTCAAAAATGAAAAGTGAATACCTACAAAGTGTAAGCCTACTTTTAGCCAACCCTGTATATGTTCATCTGCATTATGTATGCTTTGGACCTCTTGATATAACCCTCTGCTTTTTGTTTTGCAGATATTAATAAATAGATAAGTTAAATCATGTGACCTATCGAATTTCCAAGGAGAGAAAATTATCAGAGCTCGAGCTTCAGTCACTATAACTACTGAATTGTTTAATGTTTTTAGAATGAGAATCTTAAATTCATGTTGATATCCCAAAACCAAGATAAAACCAGCTTTATCAGAACTTCCTTGACCATTTGTTCTTCATTATGCTGCCTGGAGTTGCTTCAGGATTTTAACAAGGATAGAATACCATGAGAAATATTTTTTTAATATGTAATTCTAATTCCTCCTTGTATGCTGTGAAGGAATATATATACTTAACATTTTTCCTAGGATCAGAGTGTAGTATCTGTGTAATGCTCAACAGTTAAATAAATGAATAA